TCAGTGATCTTGTCAGGAAGGTGAGCATCACAGAAACAGAATGCCGGATTATTAGAACAAAGTGTTCTTGTGTTGAGGGAGTACTTAAGTAGAGACTCAATGTCCATTTGTTACCTTAATACTTAAAATACATAGTTATATATAAATATATTTACATATGTACATACCTGTATTTAGACCTCTATAAATGCCTTTTGCCTCCTACTTCTTTCCTCTTATTTCCTTTTATTTTCCTCTTGTCCCACTGTCATGTTCAGCCTTCATTCGGGTTCAGTAATTCCTCGCTGTTACATTGCCCTTGATTAAACCCCACTAGGCATCTTATGCCCTTCTCTTCATTGATTTTAGTTCACTTGTTTTCTTTGTCCCTGGATTGGTTGACACCTTCCCCTTACTTTCTCCCACCTCCCCTTCTCCCATATCCCCTGGGACCGTCAGTCCCGTTGTTTTCTTCTCCAAATTGTTTATCCCACCTATCTTATCAAGATAGACAGATGTACACATATTTATAAGATTTTTTGTTTACAAAAATATTATACACACTATTCTGAAACATGACTTTTAAAAATTCTATATTGAGAATAGAACCCAGAACTCCAATCTCATCTGATTTTAGAATCTAAGCAGGATCAAGTCTAGATGGAAGAACAGATAATATATTATGGTGAGTGTATAAGTTGTAGGCTTTGAATTTTAAAAGATATGGGTTTAAGTCCCAGCATTGGAATAATAGCTTTTGTTATATGGTTTTGTTGTGAGAAGTAACTGTGCTTGGCACGTGGTTAGAGTTTTACAAAATATTAGCTAGTATTTCTTCTTATTCTTTTTTGGGGATTGCTATGGATTGAGGCTTAGAGAAAAGTACAGGTGAAATATTTTCTTCATTTGTCAGAAATCCTTTAGTTTTTAAAAACTATGTTATCTTTAGCATCACTCATGGCATATTATGCCTCTGCCATTCTTTAATAATTACATAATATTCAACTCTTATTGTAACAATAAAATTTCCTTTTCTTTTCCTGAATGGTGAAACTATAAGTGATTTTTTTACTTACATTTTTCCATTTTTCAAGTATTTTGTGGTATGTTATCTTTATAGAAACTTTTAAACACCAGTCTAAGAAATCTTAATTTATAAGGTTGTCTACAGTTGTCATTTTAATCAAGATGTGACTCAAACCCACTTCTAGAATAACAACTGGTTAATTGGTAGACAATGCCATATAGCACATACAGTCCTCCCATTAGGCAAACTTACATGCATATTGAGCATGTATCAAAAAAAAAAAAATGCTCCCCCCAAAAGCTTTTTGTTTGATTTTTCCCAGCAGTTTTATTGGCATAAAATTTGAATATCACACAATTCAACTGTTCAATCACATCAAGAAGAGTTGCGCAATCATCACCACAATCAGTTTTAGAACATTTTCTTCATTCTTGTACTCATCCTTATTAGCTCTCCATTTCCAGAAACCATTAATCCAGTTACTGTCGCTATTGATTTACCTTCCCTTGATTTCATATACAGAAAAACATAAAACAAACAAGTAAAACTAACAATAATAACAAAGTGAAACAGAAAAAGACCTTAATCAAAAAGAAAACAGAATATTAAAAACCAGAACAAATTTTAAATGGGTCAAAAGGAGATCAAATGATAGGATGCTAAATTTTAACCAAACTGCATCTGCAACAACCCATTTTCCAATGTATTCTACATGTTAGCAAAGCTATTAAAAAAACCAAAATGCTCTTTACTACAAATTCCTTATCTTTCAATTCCATGTTCCATAAACGTTTAAAAGCTCCCGTGTATTGTCTTCATATAGTAAGGAGTCCTTGGGTGGTGCAAACGGTTAACCCGCTTGGCTGCAAATTTTAAGATCGCTGATTTGAGTCCACCCAGAGATGCTTCAGGAAAACAGTCCCGATGATCTAAATAAAAAAATCAGCCATCGAAAACCCGGTGGAGCACAGTGCTGCTCTGACACACATGGGGTCGCTATGAATCAGCGCTGACTTAATGGCAACTGATTTCATTCACATATGAAATCAATGCTATTGATATATAGAAAAGTACAAGTTGTGACATTTTCCCAGTTCTCCTTAAAGATTGCCATTGATCCATGGATATATTTGTAACACAAACATATTGTACTATTAAGTGTGTGAACCCTGGTGGTGTACTAGTCAGCGTTAGGCTGCTAACTGCAAGGGCAGCAGTTCAAACTACCAGCGGGTCAGCCCCAGAAATACGGGGCTTTGTCCTCCATCTGGTAAAGAGTTAACACCGAAAATTCATGGGGCACTTCTACCCTAATTGGGGGCGTTATGGGTCAGCATCCACTTGATGGCAGGGAGGTGCTTTCTTGGGTGTTATCCGAAATGTTTATGGCAAATTTTCATATTTCTATTCGTCTACAATCTGTGTACTTACATATACATAGGTTTATTAAAAAAATAAAGTAGACTAACAACTCCTGAAGTGTAGTTCTAATTTCTGTGTCCCTCCGGTACTTCAGCTTAGGTTTCGGGGTCCCTGCGAGACATAAAACAAACATTTCTTTACCTTGTGATGTAATTTATATTTAATTTACAATGTGGAAAAGAGCTCAATGACTTCTGGCTACTTTCTGATTCTGTTTATGAGGTAGTGGTAATTGGCATTGTGCCTGTATGTTACTCGATTTTCTAAAAGGGATGCCTCCTCATCAGTCATGTCATAACAATGAAAAGGCAAAATGCAAAACAAACAACATCCTTCATCTCCTCCCGCTTCCACCTCCACGCCACCACTACGTGGAAGGCCAGTTTCTGCCAGAAGTGGGGCCAGTCCTCTGATTCGGGTTCTATCGAAGCCACGACATCCTTTAGCTCAAGAAAGGCCTTCGCAGTCGGTCACTGAACAAGAGGTGACTGCACCCAAGCTCGAGCTTCGGGCCAGGGATGAGTGATTCGGGATTTCGGTTTCCCCGCCTGTGAACTGCGCCCACTTTCCGCTCGCCGTTTCTCAAGAGCAGGCGGCCGAGGGCTGAACGTGCCGACGGTTACGCCTCGCTCATTCGGAGCGGCCGACTTCCTTCCAGGGCCCTTGAAATTGCCAACTCCCACCCACTCCTCAAAGGGGCGCCTCACCGCCTTGGTGCCACCGAGAGGCCTCAGGCATGGCGACGAGGACGCAGACGCCCGTTCGACCCGCCCAGCTCTCCTGCACTTGCGCAGGGAGTGCGGCGGCGCTTGCGCCAGTAGCTCCTGCGCCTGCGCAGTCAGTGCGGCGGCGCGCGCCCTGGTAGCTCCTGCGCCTGCGCAGTCAGTGCGGCGGCGCTTGCCCCGGTAGCTCCTGCGCCTGCGTGAGCCGTCCCACTCCAGGGCTCTGGTCCGCTACGCTAGTTATTGCCGGGACGCGTGCGCACGAGGACTCCTGGGAACGCGCTTTTCTGACGCTTCTCGTTTGGTGGGGTTGGGGAACGTGGCTTTTCTACCCTATAGGTAGGAGTTCACTTCCTGGGGTGTATACCAGGCTTTGAACCAGGGGTTAATCATGAAAACCGTAGTAATTGTAATTATTGACTTCCCTTAACATTTACTGCCTCGTTTTATTCTTCATAAACACTTCCTTGACAGGTAGTTTGTCCCCACTTTCAGGTCTGAAGCAACCAAGGCCTATGAGAGGTTAAATAACTTACCTGAAGTACGGGGCGGGTCGAGCAATAATTTACACGGTTGCGGGGCGACTGAAGCTGGGATTTCTGGTAAGCTGCTACTGCTACTTGCAGAAGAAAATAGAGTGCCTTTGTAGAAATAAGGAACCCTGGTGGCGTAGTAGTTACACTTTGGGCTTCAGTCTTCAAGGTCAATAGTTCGAAACCACTCTACGGGAGAAAGACGGAGCTTTCTACTCCCGTTAACCATTACTGTCTTGGAAACTCACAGGGACCAGTTCTATCTTGCCCCATACTATAGGGCCTATACAGGGTAAGTATGGACTCGATGGCTGTGAGTTGAGTTTTGCAAGAAAGAACCCCCACTCCCTGTTTCCCCAGTATGACTAAAGAAACATTAAAATAGAGTGAAAACAGACTACAGGGTGGGAAAAGGTCAGGCCCAAGAGGAGTCCTTGAGAGCCCAGACCCATGTCTGGCCAGAAACTACAAAGGTTTGTAAACTAGCCATAGAAAGGCTGTAAATTAAGGCAGCTAAAGCCTGCCAGGTGATAACAGGAGGGATTCTTTGTTGGTAAAATGGCAGATAAAACGGAATTCAATTCAAAGGCCCTGGGAGGCTGCCGGCAAAGAAAATCGCCAACCTGTTTTGAAAAGTAAAAAATAAAGTTACTTTTGTTATTTCTTTGAAAGCGAGGTAGAGCGATGCTGATAAATGCTCTTATGTGCAGATAAAAAGCAAAACTAGGCCACACGAAGTGAGGGTCAGAACATGAAAAGAACAGAGGCGCAGCAAAAAAGCCGTGGGAGGAAGGCCTGAGGAAGAGAAAGGGCTACTGTGCTGGCTTGAGACTAGTTTTCTAAAAAGATTTACCCTTTCCTGCACTTGGGCTCTTAGAAGTGCACAAAATTATGCTTTCTAATGTGACGAGATTATCTTTGTACTCCCAAAGAGTCAGAAATTATAGAAAGACCACCACCAAGATATAGGCAATTTGAATACACATTAAATATAGGAATTATATCAATGACTTGTAGATCCTATTCCTGAATACTTCTTCCATTGAGCTGTGTAGTCTGGAAGATCTTGCAGAATTATGGATTTAACTGGTTAAAACAAAATCACAATTTCAGGAGCAATGTGCTTTTGAAGGGCGAACCATTGAAAGTATAGCTCAGTTTCAAGAGGAACCAAGAAGACAAGATTCTAGAAAGTTATATTACTGCCTTTTTGGAACTTAATCTTGCTTTTCCCAAGCGTGGCCTACTTAGTATTTAAAACAAAACAAAACAAGCTCTTTTGTTTTTACATAGCTGGACTTTTGTGAAGAGGAAACAGTCTTTTAATGCTTTAAATTTTATTCTTTTGACATAAAACTATGGAACACTCAGATCTATACCATGTTAGTATTCCTATTACAAAAACAGGCAAAATAGGATTTAGAAACAGTCCCAGTAAACCTTACAGTATTACAAGCGTTAGCATGTTTAAAAGGCTGATAATAACTCATGGATGGTACTGATGTATACGATTTAAATGTTAAAATCCCACATTTTAAGATAGTTTTCTAAAGTTGCAAACCCATACACTCAGATTTTTTTGTAGGCTTTACAAACCAGAGAAGTATACCGAATGTGCAAGACTCAAAGGAAAAAGATGTTAAATATATATTAGTTATATGACCTAATTAAAGCAGTAATCTGTTAATACAGCTATGGCTTTAATTTCAAAGCTTTCCTTATGTTATTAATGTTGTTAGGTTTCCCAAAGCTGGTCACGTGTTTAAAGTTCATCGCTTTCATAGAGTCCAGATTCAGCTGCTAGCCGCTGAAACTCTCCCTCGGGGTTAAAAGCTTGTTTCACATCCAGCCCTTTCCCGTTGAGTGCTAAATATTTGCTGAAAGTTGGTCGAACTCGCAACTGCTTAGGAGCTGGAACTGTTTGGTTTGGACGGACTGAAATAGATAAAATAAAAATCACTTCAGGAAATCCATTCTAAACAAAATGGCTTGTATTAGATCATCATTTTGAGACAGAAAAAGAAAAATAATCAAAACTGATCATGCATGAGAAGAAAATTCAGATTTTTATACTTTGATGAGATTTACATTTCTGATTAATCATCCTGGTTGTTCTTTATCACACCTGGCTTGTTAGAAAATATACCTGTAACATCTAATCTTGTGTTGCATGTGGTCACTCCAGCTTCATTAACTGCAGACACAGTATACCACCCAGCATCTTTCTTGTTTACATCTTTTATCAGTAAAGTAATTCTTCCAGAGTTATCATGATACAGGCTGTAAAGAAACATTTTAAAAATTAAATTACAGGAATTAAATTTTCTTGTGAAAGCTTATTTATTATGTCTCTGGTCTACAAACTGAGCAAATTCTTGGGCTATTTCTAGCTCCTGGTTTTCTTGAGTTTAAATGCTCCTCTTTGGTCTCCTTTATGTCATTTTTCATTGCCATCTTTCTTATTAGTAATAAATTCAAATCAAATTCACTGCCATTGAGTGGATGGTGACTCATAGTGACCTTATAGACTAGGGTAGAACTGCCCCTGTATGTTTCTGAGACTGTAAGTCTTTTTTTTATATATGCAAGAAATTTTTAATTGTCAGATATCATAATGTAATAAGGATTGAAATGTAGATTAATAGGAAAAAATGAGGTAGTTTAAGTCATACTGTCAAAGCAGAAAATGCATAGGCCATAGCTTTTGTAATATCATTTGGTGTATTTCTTTGTGGTTATATGTAAGGTACCACTGGGTAATTATTGATGTGGGTCGAAGAAGCTAGTGCGTTTGGTTCTCTGATCATTACCTGCAATCATTTGTTTAATTAAATTTCCTAATTCAGGAACTGGTAGTTAATCAGAAGAGTTTTAAGATGATATTTAAACTTAAGTTTAATTTTCTACTGAACACAGGCTGTGACTATGTAAGGGACAAAATATGTTGCTGGCGATGAAAGGAAAACAAGGAGAAACATGGGAATATTTCATATTTATAAGTAAGAAGGGCAGTCCCTTCTTCCTTCTTTAACACCCACGTGTTAAAGATGATTGGCAAACAGGAGCATGCCCAAATGTTACTTATTGACTGGGTTCATTCACTTGCTTATTGTTCATGGTACTACTCTCGGATGTGACTGTCATGAGATGAGGAACCCTGTCTGTCTCATTTATGGCTTTCATCTTGGGGCAGGCTTTACATTGTAGCCCAAACCCAAACCCACTGTCTTCAAGTCTATTCCAACCTCTAGTGACCTTAGAAGGCAAAGGAGAAGTGTCTCATACGTTTTCTAGAGCTATACATCTCTACAGAAGCAGACTGCTTATCTTTCTCCAAAGGGGAGACTGGTGAGTTCAAACTCCCAACCTTTTAGTTAGCAGCCATGCGCATAACCACTGTGCCACCAGGGCCCCTTTCAACACAGTATTTTGTTGTTGGATGTCATTGAGTTGGTTCTGACTCATAGCGACCATATATACATCAGAACAAAACACTGCCTGGTCCTGTGCCATCCTCACAACTGTTCTTATGCGACTGTAACTCTTTATGGGAGTAGAAATCCTCATCTTTCTCCCTCAGAGAGGCTGGTGGTTTCGAACTACTGACCTTACAGTTAGCAGGCCAATGTGTAGCTACTTCACCACCAGGGCTCCTCACACACTGAATTTATAAATGCAGGTCTTTTTGCATTTTGAAGTCAATGTTGACTGACCCAAATAAACTATAGATAATCTGAAAATACGTATCCTACCTTATTCGGTCAGTGTTGAATTGTACCATTTCATTATTTCGTTTCCAGAAAAGCTTTGGTGGAGGTACAGCTGAGATCTGGCATTCTAGTTTCACCGATTCTCCCTCGAAAACTTTTTTGCTCTGTGGTTTGTAGATAAACATTGGTGCTCTTCTATGTTCTTTTGCTACACATGCATAAGAAGATTCAAGGATTTGAAACATTGGCGAAAAGGCATTTAAGTAAACCAGAGTATTATGAAGTGTGTGCATTGATACTCCCCACCCCCCAAAAAACAAAAACACAAACCGAAACCCACTGACATCAAGTTCATTACAACTCATAGGGACCCTATATGGGGTTTCTGAGGCTGTAGATCACTATGGGAGTAGATAGCCTCATCTTTCTCCTGAGGAGTCCCTGGTGGTTTAGAACCACTGACGTTGCAGCTAGCAGTCCAGTGCTTACTCAACAATGCTACCTTGTACATTGACAGAAAGTTTTGAAAAGCAACAAGATTGGAAGCCTATTCTAAAACTCTGTGTTTTAGATTCAGGTAAAATAATATACAAAGCTACTGTATTATACTATTCAGAGTTCTAAAACAGGAATGCAAGGATACATTGCATGATTAATCATGTTCATGTAAATAATTTAATAATATCTTCATTTATTATCTCATTTTTAGAGATGCATTATGAGTGGTAGAGTACAAAATGAGTTGGTTCAGGTTCCTTATTTGTCCCACAGATGATACCAAATTTGGAAAAATTTAATTTACCTGAGCCTCAGCTTCATTTTATTTTATTATTTATTATAAAATGATATCTAAGTAGTAGTATCTGCTATACCTATCACAGAAGACTTGTGAGGATCAATTGAGATATTGAATGAAGAGACATTTTGTAAAGCAATATATGACAGGAGTCTTTGTAGTGTAAGTCCATTAAATATTGGGTTACTAACCACAAGGACAGCAGTTCAAATCCCATCAGCCATTCTGAGGGAAAAAGATGACATTGTTTGCTTTTGTACAGATTTACAGTCTCGAAAACTCTAGGGAACAATCCTTCTATCGAGTTTTGGAATTGACTGGATGGTAATGGGTTTGGTTGGCTTGTGCAACCTGATTAAGATTTGTATAATAAGCAATGAATTATAGCAAAATATTTCTTATGCAGTAATCTCTTATTTAAACTTATAAATATGATATATTTAAAGCACTTAAATTGGAATGTTTTAAAACAGAACACCAGTTTTATCAGAATTAAGAAATTAAGGAAACATTTGAGACCTGAGTTTTTGTAATAATAATTAGAGATTGGCATCCTTGAAAAGAGAACACAGTTTAAGGTTAAAAGTTGACTACTATGGTTGAATTGTAAGCTATACATAGATCATGATATTTTATAAAAATAAGAGGTAGACTGGTTACCGCTTTAAACTGTAAACCAGAGAAATGATGAGACCGACATTTTCTCTTTGGAGCCCTCCTGTGCCAAGGAGCACGGGCACCACTGTCGGGTAAGCATTAGGCTTCTAACTACAGGATTTGCAGTTCAAACCCAGCAGCTGCTCCCTCAGGAGAAAGTTGAGGTTATTTACTCCTGAAAAGATTTACAGCCTCTAAAACCCTTTATAACATCGCCATGAGTTGGAATCAACTTGGTGGCAACTGGATTTGGTGGGGACATTGCACCATTCCTTTATTTCCTTTCAGGAAAAGCTTTCATGATAGATTTTTCGTTCTAGTTTCATTGAGTTTTTCCTCAAAGATGTGTTTTTTTTAATTGCTCTTGTTTCGTGGTTTGCAGATAAAAATTAGTGCTTTTCTGTATTGTGTAGACACTAGCCTTAAATATGAAGTCCTCTGGGCTTTTAAATATTTTTTTAATGACTTTTATTTTTAATGCTACAGGATTTGAAGGAACTCAAAAGAATCTCTCTGCAGGCTTACCAAGGACATCCAGCTGCACGGTAAAGGTGGCTTCTCCTGCTCTATTCTTGGCAACACATACATAATCTCCTGCATCTGGAGTTGTGACCACTTCAAAGATGAGGGAATGGAACCCTTTCTCAGACACTATCATTTTGTGAAATTCATCTGCTTGAACTGGTCTTCCGTTTAGGTACCATGACACATCAGGTGCTGGCAGTCCACTTACCTAGAAGCAAAAACACAAGCAGGTGACAGAAGTTTAAAGTATAGTATCACTAAAACCCATGGACTCGTTTATGAACTTGAACTAAGTATCTGTGTGGGTTTGTGACTAAAAATAAAAAGTTAGAGCCCAAAAGGGTTTCACCTTTAATAGTTTCTGACAAAATAGAAAACGCTTAAAATTAACAAAGTGTTTTCCAGCTGTTTCAAACTCTGTCTAACTCTCATGCAACCTCAGGCTCTTTCAGATCTTTTCACGATTATGTTTATAACATTAATGTATTATAAATGGTTTCTGCAAGGAGTATGAAGCCATATGGCTTTTCTGGCTACTGCTGCTGCTGCTGCTGCAGCAAATGAAGTCCCAGAAGTTCATATATAGGAAGCTTGCTGATCCAATGAATAGCCTGTCCAAACAATACGCTTGAGCTATAATTCTGATATATAAATAACAGTTTGTTAAATGTTGTTATTGTAAGTCATAAGTCCATATACTAACTTTTATTTATAAAAAAATCTGGGAAAGCATTTTGCAAAAAAAATGTACTTCCTCCAACTGCACTTATTACAAAGTTGGTCTCTTCTAAAGAGCTATATTCTAGCTTAAGAACTTGTCTAGGCTAAGAGAAAGCAGGTGGCTTGAATTTTTGGTGGAGAATTAGAAATCCTGTTGGTTACCATAGCTCCAGTTCTTTGGAGTAGTAGGAAGTCTTGTGAGCCTTGGTGGCATAGTTGGTTAAGTGGTGGGCTGCTAGCTCAAAGGGTGGCAGTTTAAGCCCACAAGCTGCTCTACAAGAGAGTGATGAGGATGTCTGCTCCTGTAAAGATTTACCGTCTCAGAAATCCTAAATAGGGTTGCTGTGAATTGGAATCAGTTCAATGGCAATGGGTTTAGGCACTATTGTGAGTACCTTAAACCTGATCACTCAGTTAATCCTTGTGAGTATACCTAATTACTCAGTTAATTGTCATACCTTGTCATACCTCGATACATTAGTATTCCCATTTTATAGACAAGAAGACAACAATCACAGGTGAAGAAGTGTCAAGGTTACTTTTCTCCCAATAGTTTTGACATTTTCCCTTACTTTAAAGTCCATTCTGCAGAATCTTCCTTCTTCAATGGACATGTTCTCTGGCACTTGAATGAAACGTGGGGGGTAGAATTTCTCCTGGATTGCATCCTGATCATTCACATCTCCCCTTGAAGACGATCTACTCCTGTAAGAATGTGGGAACAGTAGAGCTGTGCATAAGAGTGGTACTTTTCCTTCCTTTTACACAAATATAATTCTGTCAGCAAATCCGAACCCCTAAGTCTACTGTTTGATTTGTAGTGTGATAGCTGAGCGAAAGGCCTTAGGGCTGTATTTAGTTGTGGCGGATTTCATAATGTTTAGAAAGTGTAGTGAAGTAGGAACACCTGGTACAAGCTATACATCTCAATTTCTTTTTTAAAGGTCCATGAATAGATGAAGAAACTTATCCAAATGCAGCACATGACTCTTGTGATCTGTTCGTCTCATTCTTATCAGATGTGCAATGTTTGTGCAATTAGAATTGAATTTCCATTGTCATGAGAAGATTGTTTAATACAGAACTGTGGTCCTGGTTAATTTGACCAAATTATTAAAAACTTCCTCTTAGTTCTGATAATTAAGATACTGTTTTTTGATCATCATCTTGGATATTGGAAAATTCACATTATTTAAAAAGCAAGCTAGAGGATGTTAAACTATTATATTATTAAATCGACATTAATATATATATATGTTTATAAAATTTTAATTTTTACCTTACTTGTGCAGTTGGAACGTGCAGTCGTGCGTGTTCTGAGTTGTGCTGCTTGAAATGAGAACAGAATGAAAATGTTAACATGCATTCGTTAGCGTGACATGGAGCAGAATTAAGTGGTTGTAGTTTAAATGAACATTTCTGTTTTGTTTTATGATCTGCTTTTTTAAAAAAAGTCATTTATTGGGGGCTCGTACAGCGCTTATCACAACCCATCCATCCACCCATTGTGTTCAGCACATTTGTACATTTGTTGCCTTCATCATTCTTAAAACATTTGCTTTTTACTTGAGCCCTTGGTATCAGCTCC